TTTTGTCTAATCCAAGTTTTGTTTGGTTGTGTAAAAGAAGAATTATACCTAGTTAGGAATACCTTCTACTGACGGTAGTCTACAGAGGCACTTGTCAAGTGAAGAAGGAATTGATCATCGTACGAAAATTAGGAGGATTGCTAGAGAGGAAGCAGCTGCTCAGTTTGATAAAGAGAGAGATGACGCAGCTAAGGAAGCTGCAGACATGGGTTACATTCTTTCTGAGAAAGGATCTCATACATTTGAGATTGATGTGCCGAAGGACCATGCTAGTCGTCCATCAGGATTAGCAAGCTCTGAATCATTCTTCTCTATGGTTGGGTGACTGCACTGGAGAGATGATCACTGCATAGATACAGGTATTGAGTATGATTTGAAGCATGCAGATTTAGAGAAAGCATTTGGTGTAAAAATTCCTGGTTCGGCGGATAAATTTTGGTCTAGATTTATACCAGGGCCTATAAGATATAAATTCAATAGGAAAGCTAATGGGCGAGATAGATCTGTCATTGGTGTCGCAGCGAAAAGAAGAATTATTGAGCGCAGTGCATCAGCGACACGTTCTTACTTCCTGGGTCTATCACATGGGAGGTTTGACGATTCTAATCAGTCATCTGGAGATTATGATGTTTTGAATATTGAGACTCCTGTGGTGAAAAGTGAGGGTGATACTAGTGCCCGACCTTTATCAGGATGGGGCAGTTAACTTTGGAGGAGTGAAGAATCCTGAGCACGGAAAAGTTGAAGCTGCTAATGATTATTTGACTATTGGGGGAAAGTCAAGATTGGAGTACAAAACAAAAATTGGTCCTAAATATGAAGAAAAACCTGGAATCTAGCCTTTTCCAGGCGAATATCATATTAATAGTCTCAGTGTTTTACGCGATCCGTTTCTTATGACTGTAGGTAGACTGCTACAAATTAGAAATTCCAATGACGAATTTTCATCTATTCCTGGTGTCATGGGATTGGCAAAAACTGATGGTTCAGATGTACATGACAGAGATTTAGGAGCTGATGAGAAAAGAAAGTGTATTCCTTCACCGGTTTAAATAGAGAATGGAGGGGGAGATGAAATATCGTGGGTGGGTGGGGTGTGTGAGTGAGTGAGGGTAAACATGGAAGTAGATTGTGGGTGGGGTGTGTGAGTAAGGGTAAACAAGATAAATCAAGTCAATGTGGGTTATTCATGATAATGGTAAGCCATGACGAAAGGGGTAAGAAAAATTGGGCATTGTATTATCGCAAGTATGCAGTACCAAAGAGGCAAGAATTGCATAAAATGAGTCTTCGTATAAAAAAAAAAAAAAAAATGGAAGTCATTTTTTATTTCACAAATCAAGTCCAATTTCTGGAGGGGTAGATGAGCATGTATGTACTCATACTGTCAATTATTTTAATCAATGATATAAAGAATACATATTAAAGCTCCCACATCAGTGTGTTATGCTCCTGTTTGCTGCTTAATCTAACAGAAGTACAGTAGTAGTTCCAATCCCCAAATCAGTTATTAAAGAGACTAATCTTTTCTTTTTTATTCCTCCCATGTTCTTGGGGTGTAAATGTAATTAAATGATGATTGATAATCAAATTCCTTTGCTATGTTTCCAGACAGACACCAAAATCAAGCTAAACAAATGGAGCGTAAATGAAAGTAAATGATGGTTGATAATAAAATTCCTTCGCTATGGTTTCCAAACAGACCAAAATAAAGCTTGAATTTGAAACCATTTTAAATGACGCATGTATTTCCTTTTGTGTATCAGAAGTTACCTATCATGCGTAAGCAGTGCTGTACTGGAGATTAAACAGCAAGTCCCGGCAATTCTCCATACCCATTTGGATTTTGTACTTTCTAGCCAGGGACTCGACCTGGTCATCACTCTTGTAGTCCATCTCTCGTATACATCACCTTCTGACCTTTTTTAGCATTTCCCTTGATGGTTCAAATCCTGAATTTACCTGCCCATGAGGTTGTCATACAATATATTAGTTTGGTTGCATGAACCAGTTGACTATGTAGAAACTAAAGCCAGCTCTCTAAAAACACAGGAAGAACACAGTTACCATCTCATTGATAACAGAGAGAGCTGCTTTTTGGTCTCGCTTAATGAGATGAGTGTTAACAAACAGAGAGTATGTCGTCGAGTTTGGTTTCACGCCCTTACTTATTAAGTGGTCAAACACATTTGAAGCTTCAGATGTCTGCCACAGAAAAAAGACCATCACTAGTGCTAAAAAAGGTCATCATATCAAACACCTAGTTTATAAGGCATGTTTGGAAGGAGGTTTTCTTCCATTGTTTGTTGTGTGAGTGCGTGTGTGCATGTGTGTGGGCAGGGGGGAATAGGTGTCCACCATGTTGAGCTTTACAAATGCACACTTCAGAGCATTGTATGAATGGATGTTGGGGATCAACCCAAATCCGCCATCAATTGCTTCAAAAGTCTGGTAGGCCGATCAACATCCCATGTATTTGCACAACCTAAAATTATACAATTTAGTGCAGCAACAGATTTGTAAGGAGGATAAGCTTGGCTCAAATTCTCCAATTGATAGTAGACTTGAGTAACATTTCAACAGAACAAATCAATGACAAGCTAAAAAAAATTAAAATAATAGTAAAGTTGCATAACCAAGCAACACCACAAGAAAGCAACAGAAACACTATCATTCCCAAGGTCTGAACCAGTCATCTCATCTTGTGAATAACACAATACAAAATGTGCGCACACAAAAAGAAAAGAAAAGAAATTAAAATTAAAATGATATATGATATATACATACCAGCGCTCATGTATACGGTAGGCAATTTTTCAACTATTTCTTATCAACATGTGTGGTATCCATTCTTCACAAAACTAGTAAATATTGTTTGATTCTTGTTTTCCACATGCAAAAGAAAAATAAAAAGAAGCAGGAAAGGGCAGAGAGAGGCTTTGTGTATTTCAAAATCTCTTTAGACTAATCAAATGAACAACAAAAGAACAAATAAAATGAACACCAATCAATTTACTTTTACCATCACTTTGAAACAAATTCAAGAGGTAATACGAGAAATGCTGACTCAACAAAACAGGACATTGCAACAATATAGAAAGTCAAAAGATGAGCCAGTATACACTAAAGTTATATGGTGTGTGAGGAATAAAAGACGTACTGAATCTAAAGTCACAAAGCCATCCTTGGAGCATGCCATAACCAGTGGACACAAAGAGGTAAATGGAGAGAGTAGATCCTCTTCAGCTTCCTTAGTAGAATTTCTGTAAGTAGTCTCAAACTCATGCAGAGTACTAAAGGCCTTCTGTAGATTCCCCAAGGAAGCATGGGCATATATCATAGCAAGGTAAGATTCTGGGTTTGGAACCTTCTTTTGGCGCAACGCACGCTTAAGGATTACCCATGATCCATCAAGGAGTTTAGCATTGTTCGTCCTGCTAGTAGTTCCTACTGCAGAGTGCAGAACCGGTAGCTTTGCATTCTCACCTCATGCAATCGATTTGGCCATGAATTCCAGGGCATAATAAGCTAACTCGCTACTATCCTCTTCCATTGCAACATCTGTAATATAGTTGCACAGGTTCCTGGGTGGACAGAGGGCTTTGTTCTGATCCATTTTCTGATAATGCCCCAGAATGTCACATATTTAGAAAAGGCACCAACTATGATAGAAAATTTAACAATTAACTACAAGAAGATGTATATACCTTGCACCTCTCAATAATTGACACCAATGTATCCAACCTCCCCTTGTTAACACAATTTCGCACACATTCGGTAAACACGTTCACTGATAGGATATACCTAGATTTTAAAGTCAAATCTATATATTTTAGGGTAGCATCAATCTGGTCTGTCAATAACAGCATGCTAATGACCAAGTCATATGACTCATCATCAGGCAGAGATTCTTTATCAGTCTGCAGCATCCCGATGACAACAAAGTAAACATCCATCCATCAGATAGTAAATGCATGAATGGAAAAGGATATTGGTTCCCAGCATAAGAGTAGGAGAAAACCTTCAGTACTAATATAGACTGGCATTGGAGGTTTATACAAATCAAGAAAATGCCAAATGGGGAACAAACTGCCTCTTCCATACTCACTCTCCTAAGAGGAAATATGTAACATAGCGCATAGGTGTTCAAAGAAAAATTAAATGCATTGATAGCTCAACTACAATCACAACTTCTAAAATTTAAGGATGAGGAAAGGCAAATTTAACAAGTAGACAAATCGTGTGCCCAAAACTTATATCTAAGTTCACAACATACATGATAGTTACCTACTTTCGTGGCTGTAACATTGCTGTAATCAAGGTTTTAAAAAGCGGCCGCAACCGTTACGTAACGCCGTTACGTAACCGTTTTGGCAGTTACCGCCACCCGTTACGGCCGCTTTTGCAGTGTGATTGAGATTCACAGGTGTGTCGGCCGTAGTGGTCGTAACGGTGCCGTAACAGCCGTAACGGCCTGTTACGCACCGTTACGTAACGGTTCCAAACTGTTTCTTCCGAAAAAACACACAAAAAAAAGCTGAAAATGGGGGAAGAGGGATAGAGAGAAGAGAGAAGATAAAGAGAAAATGGAGGAGCAAGAGAGAGAGAGAAGAGGAAAGATGAAGAATATGTTATTGATTTGTTGAAACTGTAAGACCTATGCTATTCTATTCAGCTGCTATCACTAAACCATTTTGTTTGTGTGTGTCTATCTATATATTGTCACGCCCCCAAACCGCCCCTAGTAGTTTGGTGCCGTGATGGCCAGTAACCCGAGGTTACCGAAGGCCGTCTTACAAAAATCACACACAATCAGAGTATGAAATATGGGGCTTACAAGAGCGGAAGCGAAATATACATATAAACTGAGTTGTCCATGAGAGCCGTGCATAAGTCCAATGGAATGCCATACATCAAACATCTTTACAAGTCTTACAATTTTAGATACAACAAAATGGAACACAAAATACATCCTGACCAAAAGGCTTCTCAAGCCGACATATGCCAAAACAAACAAAGAAAACATAAGCCGAGAAGCATAATCTTCAAGACGATGCAAAACGCAAATCCAAAACACGTCGGCAAAGCACCCAAAACACATCGGCAATCACGTCTAGGCCTCAATGCCTTCTTGTTCATCACCTACATATATATAGAGAGGGTGAGCTTGGATACTCAGTGAATGATATCAGAAATAAAGGTTTTGCATGAATGATATTCAAGATCTCTTTCTAAACAATACATAGCATAACTAATATGAAATCAAGGGATGAACCAAGTCCATCTAACAAGTCTTTCAAAACTTCAAGGGATGCTTACTAGCATCAATATAGTACAAGGGATGACATTAACAAAGGTGCTACAAAAGTTTAGAGTCCCCTAGCACGTACGGACTTTTGCTACAAATGCTTATAGTCCCTTAGCACGTACGGACTTGTGCTACAAATGCTTAGAATCCCTTAGCACGTACGGACTTGTGCTACAAATGCTTATAGTCCCTTAGCACGTACGGACTAGTCAAGAATGTTATCAAAATCAAAGCTAATACTTGATACACAAAATAGGGATAGTCATTCATGCTAAATCAAATACTTTCCAAGACAAGGCAAAGCAAGATTTATCAAAACGAGTGTAACATAGCTTTATTAAAAATACCACTCACATAGTTTCTTCACACGTCTAAAGAGTAAATACGAATGTGAAACATCTCATCAAGGTTTGTTAGTCTCCCTGTTTCTAAGAAACAACAAAGTTACCAGCAGCAGGTTGCGGAGTTTGCACATATTCTAGTTTCCTGTTATAATTAATTTTGGTGATTTATATGATAACTGTCTTAAGTAGGAAGAAATTGCAATTAAAGAAACTTGTTTCCTTATTAGCTGCACCAAAAACCATTGGCCGAGCCTCCTCATGTACTTAGGACAAGCAAATACAATCAACACTCTTTAATTAAGCAAAGCATTGTGAAAATTTAGATAATAGCATGCAAATAATCAAATATCCACTTAAACAAGAAAACAATCAAAATAAGGAAGTTGAAAGAAAGATCAGCAGATGGATCTACACAATCACAATTCACATAATACCAGCTAATGGATTTTGAATGCACTAGTTAAGAACAAAGCCACTGTTTTAGCAAATGTAATTCAAATGTTGAACTTATGATCATAAAATTGCTACTGTCTTGCCAGCAAGACCAACAGGAAGATAAGCAATACACTCCTGAATAACTGTAATTTACTCAGATGAAAACAAATTTGAGTAATAGTACTTGTCTACTAATCTAAAAAAGATATTTGTCAATGTCCTTATCATCACTAAATTAAATCACTATTCCTGTTAGAACTTACAAGTTCCATGAAGGACCCTCCAACAAACTACATTGGTTTAGTTCCAATAAAATGTGAAAAGCTTGTATGTATGAGATAAAAATCACAATCATTGGGTGTACTTGCTTGCAAATGAGATGGCCAATCCACATGTTTGACAAACCAATTGAAAACTCAGTGTATACTCCATTTATGAATCTATCAAACATCCCACTATCCCCTAAATTCTGCTTAAATACATATATGCATTAATCACCTATGGAATTAATTGATTTGGTTTCACCCTCACAACATAGATTTAAGCAAAAGTCTCAATTAAACAATAGTAAAGGAACTGAAGAATTCAGATAAGAGCTCACTGTAAATGCCATAATAGCACTGGAAAGCACGAGAAACCCATACTTAGCCACGCCTTTAGATAACCTAATAAACATATTGGCCACCCCTTATGGACATACATAAAATTCATTTATCTAGAATTTATATGTGCCCTTGATCTTTGTTTTTTAGTAAATTTGCTACATTTAATGTTTCCTATTAATTGCATATAAAGCAAATAACATGAACGAGTCATTAACTTAACCTGAAAATTAAGGAAAACAGAGATAGAAAAGTAGAGAAATTGAGTGAGAGAGAGAGAGAGAGGGAGAGAGAGAGGACCCATACCTGAATATACAAAACAGAGAAATCGAATAATAAGAGGCGCTGATGGAAGAGAACACACGACACTAAAGAAGACGGGCGGACGGGCTCGGAGATATGACGTCAGTGGCGCCACTGAAGGAGAAGAACAGGCGACGTTGGCAGCGGTGCTGGAGAAGAACACGCTGAAGGAGGAGGACAAAGGGCTAACTCATGTTTTGTTTTGAGAGGGAGAGAGACAAAGATAAGAGAAAAACTCATAAACACAAAAATAAAAAGGGGGGAAAGTTGTAGTCTATTTTTTTTCATTACCCACACTATGGCGAAATTTTCCTTAACTACTTTCAAAAGCTAAGTGAATCAGAAAAGAATCCAAATGTGGCAGTTTTCTGTTATATCTCTATTAATTTGACTACAAATCATTAAAAGGTTGAAGATTTTGTTTTATTTTTGATAGGAATATTGTATCATCAGAATTTGGCAATTAATTGAATGAATCTAGATTGATTAACTGAACTCTCTCAACTAGCTTTTTGCAAATTACAACATATAAATATGTAATATCATTTGTTTTTTAGAGAAAGAGCCGTATAAATCATCCTTGACAAATAAATAAACAAATAAAAAAACTAACAACCAGAAAGATTTTTGCAAGGTCAAAACCATCAGTGTTCAAATGGTTACTATTGCAACCACCACAGGAGAAAACTGTTGTTAACTTTATTGTAAAATAACTAAAAAATTAGTTTATTATTTATTTATTTATTATTAAGAGGAGTTACTAGTCTTCATGATGTCTCTCATTCAAAATGGTTGAAAAAGGCGAATTGTGGTGGCTTGTCTTTTTAAAATTTTATCAGTACTTTTTTTTTATTTTTTTTATTTTGGTGTTATGCACATGACTATACAGCACATTTCCACATTGTTTCCTCATCACTTTGTAATTGCTCATTTATTTATATTTTGATTTCTCAGCAGTTATTTGAAATATAAGAGTTTTTTTTAAGAGTTAGTTAAAAAGTTAATTTATTAGCTAAATTTATAATCCTACAATTTTCTCAACAATTATAGATCTAAATAATCACAGTAAACAAACAAAGAAACATCTAATCTTGTTGAATCCACAAGCTCAGATGCAATGCATACATATAATAGCTTTGAAAACTCCTTTGCAAAGGCTTAGCCGATGGTGACGTCAACAAATCCCAGAGGCGATTCCTAGTCAATTTTGTCAGGTGGTGTGGTGAGGGGCTTAATGTATTTTTTCGCACAAAAAATTATAATCAATTCACTGGGAGAATCTTATCTGTTCCTAAGCTTGTTTAAGTCTATAAAATGCTTCATTTCACAAAAACCAATTATCTTAACCAATTTTGTCCTAAATTTGTTTGTATTTTTACTAGTTTGCTGATATTGTAAAGATTGTTGGCAAGACCGGATATCATCATTTAATATGGTTTCCAAAACCTGGATAGAATATTTTGAAAGCAAATCACAAATGCTTCCAATATATACTCTCAACACACAAATTCACATTTATTTCTTACACGGTTCCATTTATTTGGTTTTGCTATTATAAGTGTGTGTATATAACACATGTAGCTACAAAACTAAACAAAGGCAAATTAGGTGGAGAAACACCTTTTTTTTCCATAACATTCGAGATTGAATGAAAGATTTCTGCATACTTGAATTGGAAATTAACGAAATCCCTAGCATCAAAATTCAAAAGTCTGGCAATCATTTTCTCATACTTTCTCAGCAATCAAACAGTTGTAAAAACAAAAATTGGGTTTCCAGAAAGAGATAGATACCTTCCAACACAGTCCCTGAGAATCTGCTCGGTTTTCTCACACTTTCTGATGAATTTGCCAGGCTCGACTTCTTCGGTTATGCAGTGCCATTTGACGATCTTTGTGGTGGAGCATCGATCGTCAGATCTAGGGTTTGAATTATCCTCCTCGGCTTCGTCATTCTTCCACACCCAACCCATTCCAGATTCAAGATTGCAAATCGCAGTTGCACTTGCAGTATTGAATTCAGATGCTGGCATCTATGGAGGAGGTAATTAAATATCGGCCAATTAGGGAAAGCAAAGATAGAAAAACAGAGAAATTGAGTGTGAAAAAGAGGACTCATACCTGAAAAGAGAAAAAATAGATAAATAATCGAATAAGCGACGCTGGCAGCGCTGACGATTGCTTAGAGGAGAACGCGGTGATGTCAGTGGCGACACTGAAGGAGGAGAATGGGTGATGTCAATGACGGCGCTGAAGGAGGAGAACAAGGTGAAGGAGGAGAAGGGGGGGCTGAAGGCAATGTTTTGCAAGAATGCTGGCATCTATGGAGGAGGTAATTAAATATCGGCCAATTAGGGAAAGCAAAGACAGAAAAACAGAGAAATTGAGTGTGAAAGAGAGGACTCATACCTGAAAAGAGAAAAAATAGATAAATAATCGAATAAGCGACGCTGGCGGCGCTGACGATTGCTCAGAGGAGAACGCGGTGATGTCGGTGGCGGCACTGAAGGAGGAGAATGGGTGATGTCAATGACGGCACTGAAGGAGGAGAACAAGCTGAAGGAGGGGGGGGTGAAGTCAATGTTTTACAAGAGAGAAATGAAAGGAAACAGAAGCACCCAAAAACAAAAAAAAGGGGGATTTAGTGGGTTCTTTTTTTCATTCCGTCAATATCTTTAAGTTTTGCTCCAAAATTAATTTTTTCACCAAAAATTTTAAAATATTAAATTTATTGACAACGAAAATATATTTCTCATTAAATAGTTTCAAAATATTTAAAATTATTTTTTTTAAAATATTTTAAATTATTTGTGACGAAAATATATTTTTCACTAATAATTTTAAAATAAATTAAAAACACAACCCTTGAGGTTTGTTTGAAATATAAATTGCCCCCTGTGATTCTAAAAATTATATCCCGCCCCCTAAAGTTTTTAATTTCATAATGAATAACCACTTTTATTAACAAAACATCAAATTAATTAATAGTTTTTAATGATGTTAAAATTTTTTTTTAATTAATAATTCAGATAATTTTATTATTATATAGGGTAGTGGTTAAGAATTTTATTTTTTCAGTTAATTCTAATAAATAAAAAAAATTGACAAGGGGGTATTTGTAATTTTTCAAACCATAGGAGACCATCCGTATTTTAAGTAAATTTCAGGGAGTGCATTTGTAATTTACTCATAATTTTATAATTGGTGACAAATTTTTTTCTCACCAAAAATCACAAAATTTTGGCACCACCCAAAAAAATTAGAGGAAAACCTTTAGTGACGAAATTTAATTTTTCCTCACTTAAAAAGAAGTATTTATTGACGAAAATAAATTTTGACACCTAATATTTTTACTTTTTTATTATATGTGACAAAATTTTATAATTCGTCACGGATTATTCTTATTTAGTGATTAAATTTATTTTCTTCACTACTTTTCATCACCATAGGTTACTTAAATAGCTAATTAACTTGTGCTTTGTTCAAAGAGAGAGAGTGAGAGAGAGAGAGTGAGAGAGTGGAGAACTAATAAAAAAAAAAGGAAAAAAGGTTAGTAGTCTATTTTTTTTCATTACCGCCCAATATGTCAAAAAATTTCCTCCAAAATTAGTGACAAAATAATTTCCTCACTAAAAAGTCTCAAAATATTAAAAATTATTAGTGACAAAAATATATTTCTCACCAAATGATCTTAAAATATTTAAAATCAAGTTTCTAAAAAAATATATATATAAAATTATTAGTGACGAAAATATATTCCTCACTAATAATTTTATAATTGGTGACAAATTTTTTTCTCACCAAAAGTCTCAAAATTTTGGGGCCAGCCAAAAAAAATTAGTGGGAAAACTTTCGGTGACAAAACTTAATTTTTCCTCATCTAAAAAAAATATTTGTTGACGAAAATAAATTTCGTCACCTATTATTTTTATTTTTTTATTATATGTGACAAAATTTTATAATTCGTCACGAATTATTCTTATTTAGTGAGGAAATTTATTTTCTTCACTACTTTTCGTCACCATAGGTTACTTTTCTTGTAGTGAAAAACAGAGTGTTGGATTTGTTTATATAGATTTCAGATTTGTTTTGTTTCTATGCTAGAGTTTGATTTGGATTTGTTAAATCATTTCAGATTTGTTTCCTTCTAAGGCTAAACCAAATGAAACATGTATTTGTTTGGTCATATGAGATTTGGACGTCAATTAAACTGGGTTTGGTATTCTTTGCTAGAAAAAAGGAAAAAAAAAAACTAATAGAAACAGATTTAAAATGAATTGAATTGGATCTTTTTTTCTTAGTTGGAAATCAAATAAGCAGTTCCATGTGTGTATAGATGTAACTCTCTGCACATGTGAGATAACCGTGAACATGATTTTGTGGGTATATATTTGTATCAATGTGGGTATATATTTGTAGGTATATATCTTTGCTTTTGTAGTTCCTTGTGTGTATATATCTTTGCTTTAAAAAAAAAAGAAAAGAAAAGGAAAGGAAAAGAAAAAAGTAGAAGAGAATTTTCAATGTGGGTATATATTTGTATCAATTAAACAGATTTAGAAATTAATTGAAATAGATTTTGTTTACTTTGCTGTAA